TTGTCACATCTAACAACAAAGCGTAGCAATTTTAAGAAAGCATACTTTCAAACTGTCTTATAAAATCCAATTCTTTTATCGCATTATTCTTTTAGATGAGATGTTAAAAACAAATTTAATAGAATAATAAATGCCAGCTCAATGGCAGTGTAAATCACCTTTGCGTAGAAATCTGTCCATTTGGACAAGAAGGTAACGGACAACAACCACCATTGATGCATTCGTAACCAGGGCCACATTCCAAAGAAGAAATACATACCCGAGTGGCTAGACCACCGGATGGACAAGTCGGCAACGGACAACACAAACCGTCGATACAGACTGAAGAACTTTCACATCCAGCACCCAATAGGCATCGTCCAGTTGCCTAAACCAAAGGAACTGATAGGAGTACCACTTTGATTATTGGTTACAGACCGCTGCAACAACCAATAATGAATATTTGATCATTAGAATATGAGAAATTTTACTTGGGATCCACTTGGACAGAAAGGCATCGGACAACAACCACCACTGGAGCATTCCATTGCTGGTCCACAGTCCTTCAAATCAAAAATTCTCAGCTCTTTTTAAAACTGATATCCATTTTTTAAGGTAAAAGATATGAAATTCAAAAATGGTTTTTAATGATAAAGTTGATGACAGTATGAAAAGAAAATTAAACAACTATTGGGCTTTAAACATTACTCTGTATATTCTGTACCAGTAGCATTAAAATCACTAACTCGGTCAAATCTGCAAGCTGCCGTCGAAGACTGGCCATTTGGACAAACAGGAAGACGAATAGTAGGCTGTTGTTGCTGTTGACAGCAGCAACCCGCGACACAACTTGCCTAAATACTGTCGTAATTCTCAGTTAAAAAAATTTTTTTGCTACTTCTAACATTGGCCTAAGTACAGTACAGTAAAATTTTGCTTAAAATCATGAGAGTTTTAGAAAAAGATTGCAACGGAAAGTAAGCTATCAGCGACAGACTGAAAACTTTTAATTTGTAGCCTAAAATACAATTAGTTTGAAACAAGGGTATAAACAGTTGGAGGAGAGGGCTACCGATTGTGGGCATGGCGAAGAGGCTTGGCCACAGAAACCCGTTGCACTTTGACCATTTGGACATGCTAAAGGGCAACACGCTCCCTCGTAGCATCCCATGCCTGATGGACATTGATTCATGTAACCGCACGACTGCGACGCTGGAGAACCATCTAAAAAGTTTTATATAACACTCACTGATCAAACACAACTGCCTGATTTTTAGTTAAATTATTACTTTCTATCGTTAATAATATACACATGTTTCAGTAAGCAATTACCTGGTTCAAAATTTTAGCCTTAACAAAAAAAAAACGATTTTTTTTATCCTTGCAAAAAATTTAACCGGAATGAAAGTACCAGAATTATAGTGAAGTTATGTAGCAGTTTACACTATTGCGGCTGTGCAGGTTACTGCAACTAAAGAAACACTTTTTGCGAAATTTACTTGGACATAATAGAACCACATTGAAGGATCCGCCAGGCTGAGTTGGGCAACATAAATCTAACTGCAAATTACACGTGGTTCCGGTAGGACAACCGGCAGTTGGTGAACACATTGCCGCTGGAAGGCTAAAATCTGGGCAAATAGCTGAAAATAGTAATCTTTTCTAAACTGGTAAATAAAGAGCTTGTTCACAGCAACTTATTTAGCTTATAATCATTAAAACTGCCATATTTCAGTCACTGTAATCGAAGCTCTAAAACAGAGTTCTAAGGTATATTGAACAAAAAAGAATAAATATTTTACTTAACATTTATAATAACAAATCAAAAAAATATTATAATTCTGATATTTAATGCAAAAAAATAAAATAAAATAAAGAGAAAATCAGCAACGGATAAGCGAATTGCTACCCGGCGCTTGATGCATCACCAATCCAGACACCGATGTGGTCGCTTCTGTCATTGGTGTTGTTTGACAACAAATATTAATAGCCTTAAAAACTTGATTGACCTCATTTTGCCTTTGCCGGTTAAATATTAAATTAATAGATAAAAAGTTGTACAAACTTACTGAATAAATTAACAGATGGAAAGTTAAAAGTACACAAAGTTTTTATATTTTTCAAAATAAATAATTTTTACCTTCGCACACCTTGATTCACCAGGGCAAATGTTCACGTCAGAGTTCTGAGCACAAGAACATACTGGTGACGAACCGGCAGAACAAGCGGTAGAACCGAGTTCATTGATCTGCTGCGGTATACAAATTTGTGCTCTAACTTCAAATACCGTTCCCGGTGTACAAGGCATTCGAACCCATTCGCCACATGCTTGCCTATATTGAAACTGTTTCTTTAGCATCTCAGTTTAAAGAAAGAAGCAAAGACTTTTAATTTTCCTTCCGCAAGATAAATTATTGTAAATAAAAAAAATAGAGATTTGTTTCAATTTGGTAACGCCATCATTTTCATTAGTTGAAATGAAGCAGAGCCATATTTATTACAACTTGTATTAATTGGCTTTACTGGCCGGAAAAAAATGGTGCCACCAAATTAAAAGAGCTTTAAAGACAGTATTTAAAGAGGTTAGACGATGCTTCTATTAATTAAACAATGCTTGGTAAGTTCCGTTTTTATTCTTCTAAATGGCAACTGCCACACGGTAACATCAATTTGGTTAACTGAGTAACTTTAACAAATACCCCGGATTTTGTGGCGCACACTGCAGGAAATATGCATCAGTTGATTTATCTGGCACTAGTGTTGCTGTCAACCAGTTACATTCATTACCAACCTGTGGATCTATGTTGTCTACTAAAGATAACTGCTTAAAGTTTCAGTTTTAGAATCATTTTACAGCTGAAATCAAGTAAAAATAAAAATTTAAATCGAAGTTTGATAGCAAATAACTTTGACATCCTGGTTGACATCCAACGCTTGTTGGATTTATGCTGCATGCTGCTTGTTGTCTTCGAAGTTTTTTGTGCTCAATACAACGCTGTTTTGTCTCATCAAATTCAAAATTTTTCGGGCAGTTTCTTTGATTCCATACTCCCAGATATTTTTCGCCTAATGAATATTCACGAACCTCAAATAAATATCATTTGTTGAGTAATTCAATCAGCTTGAGGCGAGCAAGATTACTGATTCAAGCTATATATCTGTGATCATCTGACCTTAAGTTGGTCACTGTTAGATACTTCATTCCGCTAACTTCTGCATAGTCTTCAACAGAAATATACAAAGGTAGTTTCATTTTTTCTTACTGATTTACCCATCAATGTTATTGACTAAAATAGACTATCTTGTTGAAAATTAAATAAATTTAGGCATACTTCATCGTCGTTTAGTGGCGAACATTCGTAGAATCGTTCTCTGCTTTTAGCTGCTCGAAAATGCTCAACAGTCATGCACAGTGTACCATCTTTTGGTGTTTTTGTTGAGGATCCTAAAAAAAAAACAAATTTTCATCTTTTCTTTTTTGTTTTATTTTTTCTCGCTTGTAGTTTTCGAAGCAAGAAAAAGCAGTTTCAAAATAAGTGTTCTTACATAAAAACAAAAAAAAAAAAAAAAAA